TGGTCCCTCATACTTTAATCAAGTCAAAATGAACCTAACAACTATTTTGGACCAGAGTAGTAGTCATTACTTCCATGAATTGCAATCGATATTTCCATAACATTTTGCAAAGTTATAAATGTTTTCGAGAGGGTAGCAACAGGCATTTCATAGAACGCGGCTTGCACAGCATCGACAAGCTCCTCGATTGAACGAGTTGACTTTTGATGCTACAGACTTTGAATAGAATTAAAGAATCCTAAGTCTAGAACGTAAAAATCTGGACTATTCGAAGGCTGGTTGGCAATTTCGATACCACTAATTCCACGGTCATCGAGCTTTCTTGTGGTCACGCACTTGTGGGGGCTCGCATTGTCTTGCTGGATAATAACTTTACCACTACTAGTAGTACTACTAGGAAATTTCGACTTAATAGCAGGAATAACCTTAGTAACTACAGTATCATAGTACACCTCAGCATTCACAGACAAGGAAACAGTCACCAAGGTTCCCTTGTCGCGATTGACGCTTTTTCGCTTCGCCGCCACGACCTCCACGAACGGCCACACGCCAATCTTGCCATCAAAAACGCGCCTCGTGTGCGGGTCAAAACGTGGGCGGGCAACAGCCGCCAAAAACATGACCTTAGTGATGAAGTGCTTCGACTTGACAGTTCGCGCCGCCACTTCCTCATCATCGTACACGTAGTACCTTCGATTCACCTTTGTCAAATAGAACCATTTCTCATCAACATGGACAATTATGTCCATGTTGATAAAAGGGAAGGTTCCATTTGGCAAGGGTCGAACAAACCCCATTGCAAAACGTAGGCGGGCTTCAACGTTCACCGGGGTCAGAGATGGCTTGACGTAACTTGAGCGAGCCTTCAAACGCGGATTATCCCTCATGTGTCGCACGATTGTTGTCTTGGGGATGCTCGACTTTTTGGCCAAAGAGCGCAAGGTTTGGCGGTCGTGGTGCGGCACTTGTCGAATGATTTTTTCGATCTCTTCCTTTGAGCGCTTTTTCTTACTGCCAGAATTTCCTAAAATAGTACAACGCTTAATATTGATATCTATGAAAACGAATATATCTATAAATTGCTAGAGGTTTTACCACGTAATTTTGATGCTACGTCCACCACGACATCGCCGTTCAGTATCGACTTCCGTCCACGATACTACACGCGCGAAATAGTGCGTGCATGACAGTTGAACTGCTTTGCAGCGTCCACGACGTCTCCACGACTCAGTGTGCCACTTGAGGATCTTTCGAGAAGGGTATCGTAGATGGCATGACGCTCCATGCTGGTGAGGTGAGCTGCCGTTCCCAATCGGCGTGCCGGGGCATTCAGAGGGTCTGGAGGGGCGCGCGGTTGTGGTGGAGGCATACCACCAGGTTAGCGAACGATTGGTACGTTGTTTGAAGTTGGAAGATTGAGTAATGAATGCACTGCGTACAAACGATGTTCAAAAACAATTTCCCGCTTACTTGGAGGTCGCGTAACTTTTCGAGCAAAACGGTCTAGAACACGCTGAAACTATCCAATCATAGACGAGATCTTGCGCTGTTCGATGCACCAATCAGGGGTTAAAATGGAATAGAATTAGAAAAATCCCGCCAATAAGAAGTTGGAGGTGACAGCTGTTGCGGAACAGCTTCCGAGTTTGGACTCCTGGACAGCGAACGCCAACTACGAATGAACGCTCAGGCCACGGGTCTGGTCCCGTTAGAAGACAATGACAGCGCGCGAGTATCGACTCCGGGAAGAAAGCGGGAAGCTGACGGGTCGCCACACGTGTCGCCCCCGACATACTGTCCGGAGACGCAGTCACCGTTGAAGAGACCGGCGCTGACATCGGCGGCAGACCTGCCCTTGGTGCTTACGTCTCCCCTGGCTAGAACCGGCACCGACGGCCGTGAGTCCAACGCCGAAACCTTAGAGCGATACACCTCCCTAGTCCAAGCGGAGTACGGGGGTATGGTATCAGGAACGCCTACCTGGAACGGTCCCTGAGTACCAGGGAATACCATTGTAGCCACAATCACGGTGGCCACCGGATGGGGTACGGGACATTCAGAAGACCTATGAAGAATTCACTCGGGGCATTGAAGAGTAAAACGAACGGCGTCCCTACTGTTTTTCCAACAAGCGAATGAGGACCGGGCTCGTTTACTGGGTGTTCAGGAAACCCAGTTAGTAGAGGTGGTCGAAGGATTGAGGATTGCGCGGGCCTCGGAAACCCATGAAAGTCGCCGTCAGGATGAGTTCCAGAAGGCCCTGACCTACCTCCAGGACTGCTATACTCAGGAGCTGGACGTTGCCCGGGCTCAGGTAACCAACGCGCGAACGAGGCTCTGCATGGGGAAGCGGAAAAGAATGTTCTCTCCTGGGAGGACCGGACCCGGGAACTGAAACGAAAACTGGCTCTGAAGTGGGAACTCCGAACTCCTGGTGGCCCGCCGTCTGCATGAAGAAGTCCTGTCCCGGTCCCAGAAGGATGCGGAACGGGTTCTCGAAGTGCGCCGCCGGAAGGACCATCTGCGTCACGACGGACTCATGTCCAGTCTCCGGGAAGAACTCCGGACCCTCAAGCGGAACCACCAAGAGGAAATCCTTCTAGTACGGGAAGCTGCCCGTGATGAGGACAACTCGAAGGGGGTTGCCTATGACCTACTTCAGTCCCAGTATGACCGGGACCTGGCTTTGGCCTGGGACTAGGTCCAGTCGAAGGCTTCGGAACTCGAGTCAGTACAGGAGGCCCTCCCAGCTGCCCTCCGGGACCTCTCTTTCCGGAAGTCTGCGAAAGCCCTGTGGAAATTGCCCGATCCTGGAAAAGGAAAAACAAGACCTCCGCGAAGCCCTGCGGGAACGGGAACGGAGTCTGAAGGAGGAAGTACAGCGACGCCAAGGGATGGAACAAGTCTGGGAAGAAGAGCATCGACGTCTCCTGGAGAGCGAAGAGATGGCCCGGGAACTCCAGGAGTCTATCCTGACCGAGCAGAATCGGTGACCCTGCTTTCGGAACAAGGACGCCGCCAGGATCTCGAACAGTTGGTCAAGGATCAGTTCATGACACTTTCTCAAGAACGCACTCAGTCCGGAGAAGATCCCTCGCCCAAGACAAGGGATCAGCTGTAATGGGAGAGGCACCCCAACGAAGAGGTGCTGGCTGCGCCAAGTAGAGGAAGCGCGCTCCTGTTTCGAAACGGAGAAATCGCAGTTGCGAGAACAAGAAGCTACCCTGTTCAGAGAACGGTCGGTCCAGGACCTCACTCTGAGCCAGGCGTATGCGGAGTTGGAACGCCAGAGGGCCCAGCAACAAATCTAACAAAGAGCAGTCGAACTCCAACAATGCACGCTCAAGAAGACGAACGATGTACGCGGCATATGGGACTCCGACTCTGTCCCCGATGGGGTCTCCGTGAAAAGGAAGCGGTGTCTCGCATACTATGTTTACTACGGCGCCCTTACTCCAGGCCACCACCCGCTCAAACTTGTCTACGCCTCGCCGAGCCTTCGACCAAACCTGTTTTATGCAGCAGACTGAGGTGCTGACAGAATCAGCTTCGCTCCGGATGCCACCAACGTTTACGGACCGGGACACCACGCCGCTACCACTTGTGCCGACGGCGGCCCCCATGTCGCGACCCAATCGCGATGCCGACTCGTACTCGTCCTCAGGGGCCAATGGCCAGCCGCTCGGAGTAGGGTACACGCAGCCATCCCTTCGTGATACCGGGTCGGGGTATGCCTCTCTGTCCTCTTATGGTCCGGAACCCGGTGGTAGAGGTTTACTGTCCCGGGGCGGCTAGGGGGGTGGTTACTCAGGTCGAACGAATCCTCTCGCACCTTCTGGAAGTGGACCGAATGGGGGTGACTATGGTGGACCCTTCGGGGGCCGAGGTGACCCTCCGGGACCTCCTGGTTGTGGAGAACCCCGACATGATGGATCCGGCGGGTACTACGGTGGTTCTCCTGGCCCTCCGAGAGGCGGACCCGGAGGAGATGGCACTGGTCCCGGGCAGCCCAACTCACCCCTGGAGCCCCATTCGAATTCACGTCAGGCCATGTCCGATGCTCGCAAGTACGCGCCCAAGTTCGATAGTGTCGACCAAACGATCTCTTTGGAACATTTTCTGGTGAAGTTCGGACATCACCCAGAAGGAGTAAGGGCTCAACGACACCCAGGTCGTTCGAATCTTCGATGACCGGCTGACATCCTGTGGGGTACTTTCCGTTCAGGACTGGTGGGCTCGACGGTGCCGTGACAGCGAATCAGTCTCCTGGGTGGAGGCTGGGGAGGCTTTCCGGAAGGAGTTCATTCAGAAGACACTGAGTCGAAAGATGGCCAAAATTACGGACAACTCCCACCGGAAGTCAACGGAAATCTTCCGGGAGTATGCGTGGCGGATCGCGGAGCCTCCCGGGAGGCTGGATTGCAGGCCAATAGGACCGTGGTTATGATGATCAATGGATGTAGCGATGCGGAAGTGGCCGCGTGCCTCCGGGGAGCTTCTGTTCGCCCTGAGACTATCGAAATCAGCCTGGACTACCTGATTGAGCGAGATGTGGACATCGATAGACGAACGGATGGTTCCCGATCGTCCCCCCGGACGACACCGGTTGCTCCGGCGACGCCGACTAGGTCCGCTCGGAACACGTCCCGGACTCAGTCCTCTTCGACGCCCAATGGAAATCTCCAGGAGCTCCAGGCCTGCATCTCACGACTTCAACGCGACATGACGAGCTTGACTACCTCTAACAACGACCAGTTTTCCTCCATCCAAGATGTCGTCGCCATGATCTCTACAGACAACCCGGCAGGAAACAACCCGGTACAGCCCCGTATCGGCATGGATCCGGACGACGAAACTAAGTCGGGTGAGGTCATTTGCGGGAGGTGAACCATGCGGGGCCACTCGCGTGAACAGTGTCCTCGGTTGTCGTGGTTCTGTACTCGGTGCCGCTCCAAAGGTCACGGACTATCGGACTGTAGCCTGTCCAGGGACAACGTCGGGGCCCGGAGGTCGATCAGGACTCGGAGAACGAGGAGGAAATACGACCTGTTACACCTATGGGAAGATGGGCCATTTGAGCTGGGGTTGTCCGTTGAACGCGTCCAAGCAGAGCTCTATGCCGGCCCATGTCGTGGCTGCACTGCAATCCTGGTATACACTGAAGGCAGCCCCGACTCCGATAAACAATGAGGACTCGGCGGTCCGAACCAAGCCGCCGGATGTGGCGTGGCACTGACCGCGAGATTGGAAATGACCTCCGTAGATGATAACAAAGTACACGTAGCCCTGGGATATCCCAGCCCTCTCCGGAGGATGAGGAAGGATACCAGGGCTCAAACAAGATGAAAGATACCTCCCCGGGGTGGTACGGGACTCGGCGACAATCGAACTTCGGACTGCCCCGGGGCAGGGCAACGATACGAAGAATGGCATGCCGAGCCAACTCCCGCAAACGAAGGGAGTCTTGGGCTCTGCGTGGAAGGGCATACAACAAGAGGGCGGGATACAGGAACGCCCTGAAGACAAGTTACAGACAGAAGCCACGATGCTACCTCTCTCCGACGCGAGGCACGGGACGGGTGCGCAATCGCGCCCCGTACACATCCCGGAAGACTGCACCGTGAGCACGTGAGCACAGAAGAAGGCGGGACGATTGGAGATCCGGGAACGAAAGAGACCATATGGCAACAGACAGACGTACGAAGAGGCTGCGATGAGGCGCCTGGAAGAGGCGAGACGATTGAAGAGACCTCCAGGACCACGGGTGTATAAACAGGACCCAGCGCCGGGGATGACTCGCGTCGTCAAACGGACGTGAGCGAAGACAAGGAAGAGAAGAGGATATACACAGTACCCTGCAATGAAGCGAAGAGCATCAAGACAATTGGAGAGACCTCCGGGTCCACGGATGTATACACAGGACCAAGCGCCGGGGATAACTCGCGTCGACAAACGGACGGGAGCGAAGCCAAGGAAGAGAAGGGCATGTATGCAGAACCCTCAAAAGAAGAAAGTTCGTGTCGACAAACTGAACCGAACACCCGCGACGCTAGTGCGTCGCCTGACGGAGATTCTCTGGAACCACGGGGTTCTGCCTCCGTCTTGTCCCGGATCCTGCCTCGGGTCCAGGGCCCATTGACCACCTTCCCGGAAGAGACGAGTGACGCTGAGGAGCCACGAGCCCCTTCTCGAGACTCAACGAACCCGGTGCTAGTCCAGACCCAGTTTTGGCGTGTTCGGGGGGGGGGGACTATGAGTGCTGTAACCGTCGGGAGTACCCGGACTGAGTATTGGAAACAGAAAGATCCCCGTCTGGACTCGGATATCACCCCAGTATTCACTGCAGCCCAGATTGACGCTATCTCCCGGTGCGATATGGCCGGACTTCCCGACTCTCGACATGTGGATATCGAAGAACGGCTCTACCCGATCTGGCTCGTCGGGGCAGCGGGTGCTATCGAGCCAGCACCGGATGAGCGTGCCGTGTGGGCAGGTGAGTTACCAGAGGAAGCATTCTCCATTTCGTTGGGCGGCGTCGGGACTCCCTGGATCGTGTCGAGCTTTCCTTTTTGTGGTTAAAGCATGCTATGCCCCTACCAGTCCTCGCGCGAGCTCGGACTTAAACGGGGGAGAATGTCGCGGGGAATATTCGGACGTTCCGCGACCAGCCATGGTGTTTTGGCTTCCTGCACTCCGCGCTCTCGGAGGCTTGCTGAACTTGTATTGTTAGTCCCTGGGGTCTGAACCCAGGACAAGACTCTGAGCTATATATGGAGCTCCCGGACCAGACTCCTGGACCTGGATTATCCATTAGTAATACTCTTTTCTTTGAAGCTAAACCAACTAACTCGACTTTACATTTTGCCCTGAACTATGCGTTTGGTGATTACATGCTTGCCTACACCGCACCTACCCATTAGATTTGTCGTGAAACCCCGCGACATTTGAATTGTCTGAATAAAATCAAGTTTAGACTTGAATTGTTTACCTTTGCGTAAATAGGACATGCCAGTATCCCCCACAAGCTTTATTTGGGGTTGAGATCAGGCGATAGAGATGGCCAATCCATAACCTCGACGTTTTCGTTGGCCAAAAACACCATCGTCTCGCGTGATCGATGAATCGACGCTCCATCTTGCTGCAGAACAGCAGTCAAGGCCATAAATAAATGGAAATAATTTGACAACTCCAAATATAGTCTTCGCTGTCTTGACGACCGTCCAATACGACCAAATCCGTTTTTCCACTGACCGAAAACGCCGCCCAGACCATCACACCACCACCACCACCTTGACGCTTCGAGAAGACTTCCTTTGTGAGATGCCGTGTGGTCTGGCTCTTGACGTAGCTAAGGTTCAGATGGCTCAAAAGTTGCTGGTGAATGCATCGAGCAGTCACGGACAACAGCGCGTGACGAAACAGTTGTTGCTTGTCGCCAGACGACAGTTTCGGGGGTCTTCCTTGGCGTTTGGCTTTGCCTTAAGCCTCAGAAACGTTGATATGACATTCCTGGAGCGTCCAGTGCATTCACAGATGTGTTGAAATGAGTTTTCAGGCGCTGCAAGGTGCATAATTGTAATGTTCTCTTCCTCGTCGAGATGGCTACCTCGAGGCATGTGACTAAGAAAACGGATGTCTTAGGAGATGTGTGTGTACTTGTAGGATAAATTGAAGTCTTGTTTGCATCGTTGTTTACCTTCTGGAGGCCGTTGAGCTCGAATGTCCTATACTTATTTCCACTATAGTGGTGGCAAAAACTGAAAGT